CCAAAGGAAATTTTTCGCCCCTTCACACCTGCGCCCGTTGGCGACTGCCCATTGCCCCCTCTTGCTACGCCACTGGATCAGTGTGCTTTAGTTTTACAAAGATCAATTCCAAGATAGTAAAAAATTGTACAACTAAACACAGCCTAACAAAAGTAATGATTGTGACCTGGTCTGTGCATATATGCATGCTGTGATTCCTTTCCGATTTATTGTAGACATATAGATTTTGTTCATTTGATCATACTTGTCCAATATTCTTATTTCGCATATACTAAGAAATTCAGTCAAGTTATTCAGTGCAGTGCGCCTTACATTTTCTGCCCGAACTGGTTGTTATCAGCAAATCTGTTTTATACTTGTAGGGAAATCAGTTTAATTTACAAACAGAAAGAGTTGGTTTTGCAGAAGAGATGTTGAGTCAAGGAGATTTCCTCTCCTGGTCATAGAACATTTCTCTAGTGTGTGAAGATCCCTGACATCAATCACCTTGCAACCACAGACTCAGGATGACTTACTGATGTCTGAGGCACCCACATTCGAGAAGATACCAGCTTTGAGGAATGGTATCACTGGAAGGCCATCAAAGTAAAATGGTTCCTGAGGAGTTTGATATCACGTGGGAATCGAGACTCAAACTTAAAAGAAAAACAAGAACACTAGAATCAAGTGATATAAGAGGCATTCTTGTTATCAGTCTTTGGGGATAGTTTTCACATGCTGTTGGTATCAAAGTTTTGAAATTAGACCACCAAATAAGTTTCAACTTCTTTGGCTGGTATAATATTCCTTGGGAAACACTAGAAAATGAGTAAGATAGGCAAGGATACAATAGCCATCCCCTGTGAAGGTAAATTTAATTTAATATTGTTGTAACATATTATATCATTGGGTGGGTTTTTGGATAACTTAGCAAAAATAATTCTGAGTTCAATCCATATAATGATGCCTAATTGATTAATTTATTCAATAAAAATTTACTACAGCCACATTCACTTTTAGGCCTAACTTCACAAATAAACTTTTCAACTAATCTAGGCCTAAATAGTCCATTAAATGCATGTTGTATTTATTCCCACTACAGTGGCAAAAAAACAAACACATTGTCGAATACTCCTTAATGTGGTGATCCAGAACAATACTACTGTAGCTACCCATGCTGTTTCTTTTGTGGATCTTTTCACTCACAACGTAGCTCATATGATTTACACCAATTATCCATAGATCCTCGGCAAACAACTCAATAGAAGCACTCTCTTACTCTCTCTCCCATAAATTGTGAATATTCACCAGCCACTTCAATGCTGCAGGATCTGTCTGAAATACAAATTTGTGTACATATAGGTAATGATGGAAATGACTTAGAACTCGACCAACATTTTGTAGCTCTTTCTAAACTTTACAATATATAATTTTTGCAGCAGTCGTTGATTTAATATAGTAGGAATTCACATGTTCTTTTCCATTTGTACTTGCTATTACACTGCTTTGACTGAAAAATCGCTGCCATCTGTGTCTAAAATGAATGTCTAGAACTGGTTCTGCTAATGCTGGAGTAGTATTTTATTCTTTTTTTTTAGATTGTTGAATGATTGTTAACAATCAGCTTATTTCGTTTTTCAAGTAATTTTGTAAAGATGGGTTATCTTAAAGAATGATTTTAAAACATGACAATAACAACAGTACTGTCCAAGAAATACTCTTACCTCAAACAAGTTATTTAGTGTTGGCCAATTATGAACAGATTCAATTTTCTATGGATCTTTAGACTCTTCCTCTCTGCTGAATATGTGCCCCAGAAAACTCGCCTGTTGATGGAACAATTCACACTTATTGGGATTCAGCTTAAGGTTCTCATTCTTCAACTAAAACTAATACATAACTTTCTTTAGCCCATCATAAGCATAATCAAAGGTCTTTCCATGTGTGATTTTGTCATCCAAGTAGATGACAATTTTCCAAAGTAGTTTAGAGACAGAACATTCCATTAGTTATTGAAATAAAGCAGGTGCATTACGTAATCCAAATGATAACATAACAAATTGTCACACTCAATTTCCTGCAGTAAAGGCATCTTCTCGCTACTTGCTTCTTCAAATTACACGTGCTAATATCCACTTCTAAACCCCCATTGTTGTAAACCATTCTGATCAGGGTAGAACATTCAGAGTATAGTCAATCCTTAGCAGTGTGTAAACATTCTTTGTGTTTTCATTCACCTTCTGATAATCTATGGAGAACCTTGTTGATCCCTCCTGTTTCTTCACAAGTACAATAGGCAATGCTCAAGGACTAATACTCAGTTCTATCACTCCTTGTTTTTTGAAGTCCTCAGTTTATTTTGCAAGTGTGATTCGTCTGGCTAACTAATTTATTGAGGCAGTATCTTCAATATGGATCTTACGAGATATTCCATTCATTTGGCCTAAGTCACGAAGTGTACTAGATATTCTGTGAACAAATTGTGTAATCTTTGACGTCAACTGTAAGAGCTCCACAGTCCCTGTCATACAGCTCTTGTACATAAAGTTGTTCTTATGTAAGAATTTGACATCAGACTTCTTACATCTGATGTGGAAGCACCACTTCTACATCTTCATGTATTGCAATGTATCATCCCGACTTGATTCGAATTTTCTGGTTTGTTGTGTTCATGGGCCTGATGACAAATTCTTTATTCTCTATATCCACGAGAGTTCTTCCAACCATTAATCTATCATGATGTACTGGTGTGTTTGGTTCTACTGCAACTCAATCACTAGATGTAAATTTAGTTCTGATAAGTCTTGGATGAATATTTCATTTCTTGGTGGTCCAGTAACTACCCTCATTATTGTCGCTGTA